GCGCAGCGCAGCGCGGGGGCCACCAAAGGGCCTTGCGCACTGCACGAGCTGAGCGTTGATCTGCGCGCCGAGCGCTCGGTGCTCATCCCCGAGTCGTACCAGGCCAACAACTGCCAGGGCGAGTGCGGCTGGCCGCAGTCCGACCGCAACCCGCGCTACGGCAACCACGTGGTGCTGCTGCTCAAGATGCAGGCCCGCGGGGCCGCCCTGGCGCGCCCGCCCTGCTGCGTGCCCACGGCCTACGCCGGCAAGCTGCTCATCAGCCTGTCGGAGGAGCGCATCAGCGCGCACCACGTGCCCAACATGGTGGCCACCGAGTGTGGCTGCCGGTGACCCCGCGAGTGGCTCCCCTGCCCATATTTATTCGGACCCCAATAAAGACCACAAGCACTCGGCTGGGTGTGTCCGCGCGTGTTTGGGGGCAGGCAGGGGCCACCTTCCTCCGGCTCTCCTCTGGCGGCAGGGCTCCGTCATCCCCGTTGGCACCCACTGCCTCCCGCCCTCCGCCACCCCAGCCCCGTCTGGAGCTTCCAAGCCCGTCATTCAGGCTTCGGGCGGGTTCCGGGTCGAGGCGCAAAGGAGCCGGCGATGCGAGGGCCGCAGCACTCCCTTTATTTTGCTGGAACCGGGGGCCGCCGGGGGGCGCCGGCTCAGTCCCGCCCCTTGCCGGCGCGGTGCTTCTGGCGGCCGGGAGGCCGGTCTTCCTCGTTGGGGCGCCGCAAAGAGGCCCAGGCCGGCCTTTTCCTGTGCTCAGGGTCTCGGGACTCCTGCACCCAGGGCCGACGGCCTCCTTCGCGGGCCTCCCAGCGCCGGGGGAGGGCTCCCGGGGGCTCCCTGGCAGCCCGTGGCTTCTCCGCCCTCCGCGGTTTCTCCTCCCTCCGCGGTTTTTCCTCCTTCCGCGGTCTCTCCTCCTTTCGGGACTTCTCCTTCCGCGGACTCTCTTTCCGCGGCCTCTCCTTGGGCCCCCCGTGGGCCAGGGGTGCGCGCTTCTCCCCGGCGGCCTCCCCAGGCTCCCCTCCGTCCTTCCGTGCAGCCGCTGCGGGCACCTCGGGCCTCTCCTCTGCCTCCACCTGGGGCGCAGGGGGAACCGATGGGGGCGCCCAGGCCACGGGCTTCGGCTGCACGAGGGACAGTGGGGGGTGACTGGATCAGCATAGATTTACCCCGCCCACCTGGGCCCTTTGCCCTGAATGAGGGCCTCGCCCCACCGCCCACTGTCGTGGAAGGAAGCGCTTACCAGGTGCGGTGCTGGCTTTTTGGGGGATGAACTTGGTGGGACCCATGGCTCAGGGGCAGGTGCCGGAGCACCCGCCTCACCAGCAACAGCATCTGGGAGGGGACCAGAGGGGACGCCACTCAGCCCGCAGCGAGGGGCCGATGGCGCCGTCCTCCCGGGCCTCCACACTACAGCTCCTTCAGCCTGGGGACAAGGGGACCAGCCAGACCCCACCGGGTACGCGGAAACTGGGCTAGAGCCGCCCCGCCTCCCCCGGGGACTGGGAAGGGTTTCCTGGTCTCCGCTGCTGCGGGCGCCCCCTGTTCTCTGTCATTCCGGTTGCAAAAGGACAGGTCCCGTTTCTCCGCGGGCTGCAGGAGCGCCCTCGCACACGAGGGAGGTGCACACCACCCCGTGGGGGACGCGGGCGGCCCATGCTGAACGTGGAGGGTCTGGGGGCGGGGGCTGTCTGTGGGGAGTCCACAGAGGGAGGCTCGCTGAGGTCCGAACCGGGAGTGGGAGGAGGCACGCAAAGCCCGCCTCGGAGGGAGCGGCCCAGGCAGCACCCTGGAGGTGCACGGTCGGTCCCCAAACAAGGGATGCAAAGCGGGGAGGGGGAAGGAGGACCCCCGCACGGGAGCCGGGAACGCTGCGCGTCTGTCCACGGCGGGCGCGCCCAGGCTCACCGCGGCACAGCTGGAAGGCTGAGCCCAGCAGCGCCACCAGCGAGGCGAGCACCAGACACTTGTTGAGTGACAGGTCCCCCCAGGGCAGCTCCTCGCTCAGGGCCGGCGGCGGCAACGGCGGCGGCTGCGGGGGTGCAGCCTGAGCCTTCTTGCGCGCGGGGCTCCGGGGGGCTGCGGGAGCAAGCGCAGAGGCTGAAGGCGGCACCTAGGGGCGGCTCTGCATCCTAAACTCGTCTCAGCCCAGCCTGGCTGTGTGGCCCCGGGGCTGGGGAACCAAGCTTGGCAGCTTCAAGTGGGATGTGCAGAATATTCTAGAAGGTAATTAACTAGCTGAATCATGAATTGGCAGAGGCACCCAGCCCTTTTAGGAACCGCCTGTGACATTTGGACACCGCTCAGCCACATAGCATTCTGTCCCCTCGCCTCCAGATCCAAGCACCCACCCCAGGACCTACTCCCCATGCCAGTCCATACCCCCTCCCCTTCCCGCACCCGCCTCCTGCACACCCACCTGCTCCTGCTTTCAGCCTCTCCTTGCTGGGTCCTGGGCCCACTTTGGCCACAGGCCCTTTTTCTGTCTTCTTGGGCCTGGCATCCCCTCCACCTGCAGGGCCGCCCTCAGCTTCCAGCTCCTGAGGACCCTGGCGGGAAGGGGCGGGGAGTGGCCAGCCATCCCAGGTGTTCCTTTCCAGCCTCTCCCTTGAGGGAGTCCAAGCCCTTCTCATGGGCTGTAGAAACCCACCCCCTCAGCCAGCGTGTCCCCGACTCCAGGGGCGCCCTGGGCTGAAACCCGAGGGGCGTAGCTACTCACGTGGGGCCAGCTGCTGGAGTCAGCCAGCCTGGGTGTCACTGTTGGTTGGAAAAGAGAGAGACTCAAGGTCAATCCCACCCTCCACCAGGCTCTGCTGAGGGCAGGTGGTGTCCGTTCCTACTGTATAGCTTGGAAAGCAGACGGGCTCAGAGGCAGCTTTGCCCGAAGGCTCCCAGCACTTCCCTGGAGGGCTGGGATCAAACTCCAACCCGTGGGGCCCAGCTCCTCCGTTTTCTGGGCTCCTTACAGACCCCTGAGGCACCAGTGAGCCTCAGGTAGGACACGTGGACAGCAGTTTAAGCCAATGTAGGAGTTCAAGCCCTGGTGTCTGGAGGTGAGCCGCCTGGCTCAATGAGGAGGGTGGGGGCGGGGGCTGCGTCCCACCAGCACCCCTGTGGGCACCTCGAGACTTGTCCTCCCGGGGCCGGCCTGGGCAGGGGTCGGCCCATGCAAGGGGTTCCTCACCCGGTTGGCAGCTGCCCAGGCCTCCATCCAGCTCCTCCAGGGCCCTGGTCGTCATGGAGATGTCTGAGAAGCAGCGGGACCAGACTCGGGCCGTGGGGCTGGCGTGGGGAAGAGGTGTCTTACATTTACCAAGCTCCTGCTGTGGGCCTAGGCCTAACCTGGGGGCTCTGTGGACATGAGTTACCCAGCCCTGCCTCCCCCAGCCCTTAAATGCCCCTCTGCGTGAAATTCCTTCACTCCGCGGATTCCGACTCACACGGAGTATGGCCCGGGCACCCTCCCTTACCCCCCAGGCCTGCCTTGGGACCTGTCCCCATCGCCCAGCCCCTCGGGGGCCCCAGCATTCCTGAGCACACAGTGGAGGCTGCTGTGGCCCAGAAAGGGCTTGCGACCTCCCCACCCCCGCCGCCAAGTCACACAGAGATGAGCAAGGAGCCCAAACCAGAACCCGGGCCCCCGGCTCAGCTCATGTTCTCTGAGACCAGGGACTATTTTTATCCAGTGCCCAGGGCCCGAGGGACAGGTCAGCATGCGGCCCAGCCCCTCCCAGGCCTTTGCCCTCCTGGGGTCCCTCTGTGGACCATCCTCCCTTGTGGCTGCTGGCACCTGGTCCCCCACGAGCCCCACAGTCTAGGAGCTGGAGCCCCAGCAGCCAGGACCAGCCTCACCCAGCCACCACAGGCTGGAGGTGGGGGAGGGGCTCCTGCGGGCCTTGCGGTCCCAGCACCGGGTCCCTGTCCCCTCTCACTGCCTCTAGTCCCCACAGGCCAGAGGATGAAACGGAGGCCGGGAATGAAGGCATTGGCCAGAGGTCACGGAGCTTGAGGTCAAACTCGAGTCTGTTGGCTTCCCAAAGCCCCGCTTTTGGGGGTCCCCAGTGCCTCTGGCTGCCAGCGTTAGCGTGTCCCATCCATGGGCAGAAAGGCGACCCTTCTCCGAGGCTGGAGCAGGGCAGTGGGGGTGAGGCCCAACAGGCAGGGGGTACCCGCCCCTAGGTGTATGGGAACAGCCACAGGAGTCAGGGGCCCCCAGGGATCTCAGACATGCCCTTTCCAGACCCCAGGGACCCCCACTTCTGCCCAGGCCTCCCCCCGCCCCACTTACTCCACAGCCGCCTTGCTGGGCCTGGCGGACGGGATGGACGGTGGCCCCTGGACAGACAGCAGCAGGTGGCCGGAGGCAGCGGGGTGGGCCAATCAACTCAGTGGCTGGAGCGGGAGGGGAGGAGGGCCGGGCACAGCTGGGGCATTCCCCGCCCCGCCCCCACCGGCCCCTTGCCAGCAGGACCAGGCATTGGCAGAGGGGCGACCGCCCCCACGTCAGCAGAGCCGCTGTCAGGCCGGCCACAGTGAGCCTGGGAGCATTATTTCCCGTCTGAGCCTCAGAAAAAGGGGGTTCGGGGGTGACAGCAGCACAAAGAGGGATCCCCTTTGCCTTCTCTCGTGGATTTGGCCAGGGGCCTCGCGGAGGGCTCCCTGGAGGACGAGGCTACTGTGGGGAACACCGGCTCTGCCGGGCTCAGGGGAGGCACCAGCTGAGAAGCCTCGCTTTCCTGGTCTGGAAAGCGAGGTCACTGTCTCCCAGAGGGGCGGGGAGTTCGAACTGAGTGAATGCCTATTAAACAAGCACTCGATAACTGCAGGCTACTTTAGTGTCCTGCCACCTGGTCACGGGCGTACTCTTTTGTTTAGTGGATCCTCAAACACACAGCCGCTGAGCCTCACCCGGCGATATGGGAAATTATTTTATCATTGAGAAAATAAAAAACAACCCTCTGTATCGAGATGTGTTTCACGCATCGTACAATTCACTCTTTTAAAGTCTGCAATTTAATCGTGTTTAGGACATTCACACGATTGTGCCGCCATCATCCGCCGCCGAACTCCAAAATATTCCATCGCCCCAAAGGAAGCCCAGTCCTCCTTAGCAGTCGCTCCCAAACCTCGCCCCCACCCCAGCCCCTGACATCCACTCACCCACTTCCTGTCTGTGGACGTGCCTGTTCTGGACACGTCACATAAATGGAAGCACACACTGTGTGGCCCCGTGTGTCTGGCTATTCACATACACACACGGAGTCTAACCACAGATATTAAAAAATACACACAGAGAAAAGATCTGGTGAGGACACACCCACATCCATTGAGTTTCCTCGAAGAGCATCCATTACTCTTACATTTAGCAACGAAAATGCTGTAGAAACGAAGATAAAACTTGCTGAAAACAGAGGCGTGAGCAACGTGAGGCAGGAAGTGGATGGCAGGGCAGCTGTGCTCAGGCCCAGCCTACGTCTCTTCCCCTTTTTCTGTAACGAAACCTTTGCAAAAATATTCGAACTATCACAAAGTATTGAAAAGTCTATCGAGAAGCATAAAAGATAAAAAAATATATAAATCGAGTAAAAAAAAAAAAAACGGCCTCCGGTTTGAGATAAGCCCTGCTTATCCAGCCACACCCTCACATCGTTGGGGCCTGTGTGTCTTCAAGGAACTGTCACAAGGCCACTGGCATTTTATCACCCGCCGGCAGATGTGCCCGTGGATTTGTGGCCTAATTGCAGGGCTGGAAGCCCTCCCTGGGCCCGGTTCTGCCGTGGGCTGTTTGACACATGTTCTTGTTGGCTTCTCCTTCTCCTTGCTGCTGGTTCAAGAGTTTTTGTTCCCAAGAATAACATTAGCAGAAGTGGCCGGGCTTGAAAATGGCAATGACTGTGGTAAGAGGCTAGATCCTTTTTTTTTTTAACTTTTCAGCATTATATTCCGAAAACTTTCAAACGTATGGAGAAGGGGAGGGAGTTTCACAGCGAAGGCCCACGTACCTGCCCCCTAAATGCCGCGGGAAGGAGTATCCTGGGTTCGCTCGGAGAAGGGGAGGGAGTTTCACAGCCTAAATGCCGCGGGAAGGAGTATCCTGGGTTCGCTGGGGCCCGACTCAGGCTCCATCCCGCTGTCTGGGGCTGCGTCCGCCTATCTCTCAGCTTTCAAATTTCATTCCAAAGTCGGTTGCAGGCGTGGAAGGACCTTAGTGGACAGTCAGCGCCCACCTGTGGCTTTGTGTTTATGCGTAATTTTCATGAACTGAAGTGTAAAGTCTTGACTGCACTGTTGGATGGGTTTTGTCAAACGCACACAACGAATGTCACCCATCCAGTGACATATTCCCATCGCCCCATGTATGAGTCTCTTGGAGTTGCTGGAACAAGTCGCCAATGACTCAGTGGCTTAAAACAACACATTTGTCATCCCTAGTCCTGGGTTCGGGGGTCCCACACGGGCCTCGCGGGCTACGCCCAGGAGGGGGAGGGCCTGGCAGTCCCGAGGCTCCCGGGAGAACCAACCGTCTCCGGCCTCTGCTGGCCTCTGCCAGCTTCGGAGGCGCCGCGTCCCTGGCTTGGGGCTCCTTCCCCTTCATCACAGTCACAGCCGGTGACATGGCCTCCTCTGTTGGTTTCCCTGACTCTGAGCCTCCCACCTCCCTCTCATGAGGACCCTGTGAGAACACTGGGCCTCAGGGGACCCAGGGTTGTCCCCTCTCAGGGACCTTGACTCAGTCCCATCTGCAGCGCCCCCTTTGCCACCTGGTGAGGTGACATGTCCACAGGTCCCACGAATTAGGGATGAGACGTCATTGGGGGCTATTATTCAGCCAACTACATGTTGCGAGTCCTTTTTTTAAAATCATATAGTGAGACCCTCGGCCTCCCTGACCCATCCCCATGTCCAGATACCTAACCTGGCCGTGCTGATTTCAGCAAGACACCAGCCTCCATCCTCAACGTGCCCTTCCCACGCTCTCCACTGTCCCTTCCCAGCAGCTCAGCGTTCACCACCTCCAGGAAGCCCTCCCTGGCGCGGCCTGCCCCCTCCTAGCAAGGCATCTTCCATCGTCTGATTTCTCTCTCCGTCCCCAGCAAGCGCGCCAGGGCAGGCTGCCTAGGGCCACTGTGCTGGTCCTGAGCCTTTCCTCACCATGGTCTGCTGAGCGTGGAGTGGCCTCTCTCGCTGGGTCAGCATTTGTAGGGAACCCCGGATTAGACAGAGGAAGGAGAAAAGTGACACTTGGGGGACAGTGGGTGGTGTCTGGTGACATCTCTGGTTGTCTCGACTGCGGGTGCTCCTGCCGTCAAGTGAGTGGGGCCGAGGATGCTGCTCGGCCCCCCACAGTGGCCAGGATGCCCCAGGAGAATGACTGGCCCTCACGTGGACAGTGGGGCTTCACTTCTGCCTCAGCGACCCAACACTGCATGCTCCGTGACCGTAACCGAGGTCCAGCGAGCCTTTCGGCCCCAGGCAACATCCAGGAGGGGCCTCTGGTCTGGCTTCAGGGTCGGCAGTCCCGGGGAGCAGCAGGCGCCTCGGTCTCTACCGCCCTCTGCACATCCCAGCACCGCACGCAGGGAGCAGAACAGATAACCACATTCCCCGTGCTGCTGGCGGAGAGCTGCCCCGAACCAGAGCTCCCCCCTCAACATGAGGGAGACACGACACAGCTCCCTGCCAGAGCTGGGGGCCCTCAGACACCCTGATCCCCTTAGGTGACTTTCCCTGACATGCCTCGCCCCCACACACACCCCATTTCTCCTCCGCCCCGCTTTCCTGCAAGCCGCTTCATTTTATTTTTCACCCAAAGGCTATATTTCCCCCGCTTCCACCCACAGCGATTGCAAATTAAAGCGTACTTCGGCCAGAAACAGCACACGGCCTTCCACTGAAGCAAGACCCCTCCCCCACTCAGTGTCGCGTCCTGAGGCTTCTGCTGGCTCCCCCAAACTGAAGAGGCCTGGGTGTAGCCTAAGTTCCATCCCCCTGATGCTGGCCCAACACGCGAGTTCTCGAAGACAGCCCACTAGGCCAGTTCCGCGTGGGCTGCAAGGCTACAGTCTCCAGCCCACTGTGCTGGGGGTGGGTTGTAACATGAGTCACTGTCTGGCCTCACCCATGGAGGGTAAGCACAGGGTGACCCAGTGACCAGAAGCCGGCCATTGGCAGGTCTGGATTCTGGACTCTTGGCCCGAAATCGCTGTTCCGGGTAAGATACTGGAAAGTTACTGAGAGGAAAAAACAGATTTCTAAACCAGAGTCTCTTTCAGCCTCAAAAATTATAAATTAAATAACAGCAAAGAGGCTAATCCTACTAATAATAGAGGACACTTAAGCACCCTACAGCGAGGTGGGCAGGAGCGAGCCCGCCCAATAAATCGCAGGCCTCTACAGAAGCATGGAAAACTATAGTTAACTAAAAGTGCATCTGCTTTAGTTTTCGCCATGAGACCCTGAGCTGCAATTCTAAGCGATGTCATCGATTCAAGATTCTTTCCCTGGGAAATTCTTTGGTTGGCCCATTATCTGCAATTGTTCCAGTTTTTGTTGAGTTTAAATAATGTATGTTATCATGCATCAGACATTTTTATTACCATCAACTAAACATTTTTATTACTTACATCGTATAAGTACTGCGTGCTACAGGGAAGGAAATTTGGGAGACACACGGGGACTCAGACACATGCTTTGCAGAGTATATTTCTATCCGTTTTGTCATCATTCAAGGTCCCTTTGCGGAGAGTTTGTGTCTCTAACCCAAATGGACACATTAGATCGGGAATTAAAGTGAGATAAAAACGAGAGGCAGGGATTGTAAAGACAAAGAAACACAGGAGTTGCGTCAATCCCGTGTAACGTTTCGAGTTTCCATTTGTGCCTAAAAACGTAAAACCATGAAACAAAGTGGGACCTGTAAGGAATGACATTTTTGCTTGGTAAGAGCAAAAATTTAGTTCTTATGAGAAATGTTTCTGAATTTAACTGGTCAGATATGATAGTTTCGCTTGGGAAAAAATTTAGTTCACACACGAAATATCTGAGTTTATCTGCAAGGAGTAATATTTTTAAGTCCAAACACTAGATAAAATATTTTACTAAATTTGAATAATTTTTTTTAACATTGAAAGTTCTCTTTTAATTGTAAGTTGTTTTAAAACGTGAAAGACCGTATCCAGAAAACCATCACTGTCACCGATCATTAGGTTATTACTGAATATAATTTTGTCCTATTGAGGGGGGCGCTGGGACCCCTTCCCCCAAATACCTAGGGCCTTGTCACCTCGAGCCGCCGGGGAGGGGCCTCGCTGGGGGAAGGTACTCTAGCGAGGGCGACAGGGACCACGGTGGAGACCAGGCCACCGCGAGACCCCCGGAACCTGACCCAGCATGGCGCCCCCGCCCCCAGGCCCGGTTGTGGGGGCGGGGGACGCGGGCCCGGCGCGCGCGTTCTCGGCGCCACGGAGACCCCGCCCCCTCCGCGCGCCTGCAAACGGACGTCTGCTCGAGGGGCGGGACCCTAAGGGTCTCGCCCAATCCTCGGAGTGGTTTCGCCCATCCCCTCGCCGTCCGCCAATCATAGGCCGAAGGGGGCGGGCGCATCTTGTTTCCCGGCGGCCTCGCCCCCTCCTGCGGCCGCGTTCCCGGCGGCGCGGGGGGCGTGGCCTGGGTGCGGCGCCTATAAAAGCGGGCGGCGACGGCGGCGCCATTTTGCGAACGACGAGCAGCGGCGGCGGCGCGGAGAAGCGCAGCGGAGGTTTTCCTGGTTTCGGACCCCAGCGGCCGGATGGTGAAATCCTCCCTGCAGCGGATCCTCAACAGCCACTGTTTCGCCAGAGAGAAGGAGGGGAATAAACCCAGCGCCACCGTCCACGCCAACCGCACCATGCCGCTTCTCAGTCTGCACAGCCGCGGCGGCCGCAGCAGCGAGAGGTGAGCGCCCCGCCCCCGCCCGAAGATTCCAGAAGCGCCGCGCGCAGGTCGGCGAGGGGCGGCCGCAGAGCGCCACGGAAGTCCCGGGGCGCGTGATCCGCTCCTTTGTCGAGGCCACAATCGCGCGCGGGGGGCGGGTTCTGGGCGCGGTGGGGGCGGGGCGGGCGGTGGCGCGGGTCCGGGCTCCGGGCCTGGGGGACGCGAGGGCACCTGGCTGGGTTTGCGGGAGGGTCGCGGGCTCGGGGAGCAGGTTTGGGGGCGGGCTGGTTTCAGGCCGAGGTCGGGCCCGTGAGTCCCATGAATCTGTGCTTAGCGGGCGCGGCCGACAAGCGTCGATCGCGGGGAGCGGGAACACTCCGCGGGTGGGAGAGCTCGACCAACCGGGGGCCCCACGCCGCGCCCCGTTGTGGCCTCCCTGGCGAGCCCCCCCCTTTTTTGTCCCCAAAGGTGGTCGGTCCGGGTGCGACAGGCCCTCGACAACGCGCGGAGTGGGGAGGCGCCACGTAGGCGCTTCCTGGGGCCTTTCTCGGGGTGGCGACCGGACCATCCTCCGCGCATACGAGCCCTGGCGCTTCGTGCCGCCTCCTCCCGTTAGAGACGTCTGGGTCGGACGTGGTTGTGTCCGCTTCCGAGGGGCGGGGGCCCGCGATGGGGTGTGCTGGCTGCAGTTGGCACGATCTCAGACCCGCTCCTCTCCTGGGCTTTCCATTACCCCGTGGGGGCGATGCCCGGGGCCGCGGCTGCGGGCTGGAACCGGTGGCAGCCGTGCAAAATGGAGGCGACTCTGGGGCTTGTTTACACTGCGCAGCAAATGGCTGCTGGCGCTGCCGACTACGCGGTTGTGAAAGTCTCCCCCGGGGCCCAGGGCCGCTCTGCCGAGATGACGCAACCCGGAGGCCAGCGGGAGGGGCGCCTCCGCGGGCTTGTCCCCGCCGCGCGCCGCTCTGGTGCTGGGCGGACAACAGAAGGGCCGCCGGGGAGGCTTCCTCATGGGGAAAGACAGGTCGTTGTTCCCTTGAGTAAGCGCTAGGACTTCCAATCTTGGCTGCAGAGTGCACGGCGGAAAAGCAGAAGTTGAAGGGTCCGGACCCAGAAATGGGAAGCGGAGACTGGGGGGGATGGGTTGGGTTGGTGAGGCTGTGCCTGTCTCCTAGGCGATGTGGGGGCGGAAGGCACCAAGTGGGGTTTGGGTCTGAGGCCCGTCACCGCGGAGGCCATCCATCTAAGTGGTCTGTCTTTCTGAGTCCTTGGGCGGAGCCTTTGAGCTGCCCCAGGCAGAGGTGATCAAGTGTAAACATGGAACTTGGAGGGTGGGCGGCAGGGATCCTAGGTGGGCGAGGACTCCGGTATCCTTGGTCTGCAGGTGGCTTGGCTGAAGCTCGCTTTGTCAGGAAAGGCCAGTGTTGCTAACTAGCCCTTTTTCCTCCAGCTCCAGGGTCTCTGTTAACTGCTGTAGTCACCTGGGTCCAGGGCCTCAGTGGTGCTCCTGATGCCCCTCACCCACCCCTGAAGATCCCAGGTGGGCGAGGGAATAGTCAGCGGGATCACAGTCTGTCAGCTAACTTAGTTTACTCTGTAAGTACTCTGGGTGGGGTGGTGCGGTGGGTGGGGGAGGGAGGGAGGTCCCAGCCCTTGCTGCCCAGTGGTAGAGAGTTCTGGTGCACTGCCCTATGGCGTCATCTACACGATTTTGTTGACTTCTTTGAATCCGGAAATCAGGATGCACACACTTGCAGGCTGCGGCCAGGCCCTGCCCAAGCACAGGTAGCCCTTGGCGAGTTGTCACCTGAGCTGAGCCACCTCCCCTCAGATGCCTGGGAGGCCTCATACACAGATGACAGCACCGCAGGGTTGGGTGACCAGCTGTGTGCGTACTTTTCTGGGTTTTCCCCCTTGATGGCACGGAGGAGAAGATCCCAGCCTGTGAGAGTTGGTGTGGAAGAGC